TTCCAAATCGAAAACCCTTAAGCATATATACATATTTATTTATACAAATTATTTGCAGGGCCTGGAACATGAAAAGGATCAGGAACCTGTGCTGTTTGGTGAGTATGAATATCAGGACAACAACGCCTCGCTGCAATTCTTTGCCGTACAAAATGTGGACATCAAGCGCCCCTTTGAGATTGTCGAGCTGCGCATCGAGACGAATCATGGCCAGCCGGATTATACGTGTCTATATCGCTTTCGTGTGCACGGCAAGCCGCCGCCATCCACGTAGATAACTAGCCTAAGTTCAGTTCAAGATCAGTCAGGTGTACATAATGTACATACAGTGCCTTAAAAAGGAAACTTTACAATACTTACAACAAGATGAAGCAGAACAACTACTTACAACTTAAGCTTAAGAATACGTTAATTAAAAAACAACATTAGGCTATAGTACGTAAGCTTTTTTGTACAATATTTAAGTTGGGAAAGATTTTGTATATATTTAAATAGCTAAGAATAGCTAAGCTAGATGTGTCTACAGTCCAGTGTCCTATAATATTTATAATAATTTAGTTGGATTTGGTCTCTTATAAAAATGAATGTACACAAAATTAGTTGCTTAACAAGTTTTTAGCACAATGCAGCAGAGAGCCAGAGAATAATCCCAATTAATTTTAAACTGTTTGCCATTTGTAGAACGTTTATAACTTCATAGTCATAGGCTCGTAATTAACTCAACTAAGCCATATGCTTGCTATAAACCTACATATATAATTTAAGTTATGTTTAAGCTCACCTTAAAAATAAGTTAAAGCACAAATACGAATTAATTTTAATATGCCATAGAAATTGGAATTGAAATTGAAAACACAATAGCCAAAATGAAAAAGGAAAATTATTGAAATGCGACTCAATAGCCAAATATCTCATCTTTTTTATCTATACAGAATATACTAATTAAATATTACTATATTCTGTATTGAATTGAATTCACATATCTCGAAAACATTTTTTAATCACATTTCATATTAATGTATACGCTCAAAATATATGCTTAGAAAATGAACCCAAAAATAGTTGATAACTTACTAAACTATAAACGCATATTTAATATTATTTATATACGCTATTGTTGTTACTTATAAGTGAAAACTTAATATCATATATTGCTATTTAATTTTTTTCTACAAGCTTAACAAGTTTTCAGTTATATTTTCAAGTGAATATAAATAAATGCGTTGCACAAAAATTAATTAAATTTAATTGTAATTAAAATGTATGAAAAGTGAAATGTGAAGTGCGTGGCGCTTTTTCTCGTCATTTATAATTTCCCATAGTTTTTCATAAAAGTTGTAAAGTGCTTGCAGCGCACATTTAACAAGTTGATGAAATGAACTTTTTCAATTAATATAATTTTGACTTGACTTGGCAACATAGCGCTTTAATTCGTTATAAGCTCATTAACAGCTTGACGGCATTCCAATTAGAATTGTGTTGTGCGCCAAGACAATGTCCTGGCAGGCATATTTCAATTTCAATTTAATTTGTTGCACATGTGCAGATTGTGTTATTTGTCAGCCATTTCACTTGGCCAAATTAATTGTGCAATTGCACACGAGACTGCAAAATTTATATATATGTATATATATTTAAATATTCCACGAACTTGATGTAACCGGGCCAACCATAAGCATGTATGTGTTTGTGTCGGGCACAAGGAGCTGCCAAAGGAGTTCATATTTATAAGCGTGGGCAGGCACGCACTTAATTAGAAGCATTAACTGAGGCATGGACAGACTGACGAATTCCCAACACTGACTGACTGACGGACTGACTGACTGACTGATGGACCGACTTAATGTTTGCTACATTTTGGGCCAGGAATCGCTTGCAAAATAGATGAAATTGCAGTGCATAAACTTGTTGAGAGCTATGCAAAGGTTGGGTGACTGTCTGCGCTGTGTGGGTTGCTCGCTTAGGAACGTGCCCCTCGCTATGTGTTGATAGAGATGAGCGCGTGACAAATACTTTGAACACGAACACGAAAAAGCTTTTGTTTTTGGATTAGGCTTGTTCTTAACTCTCCGTTTTAATAATGCCACAGTTCAGGGTTCTAATTAGCCTCCAGCATTAAGGTTCGGTCCATCTCGAAAGTTTTTAATTTTAGGCCCAAACCACTTTCTTCTTTGGCTTTGGCTTTGGAAACTCTTAAGCAGCTTGTTGTTCGCTTTGCAGTTTGGATCTAAAAATGTATAAAGAAAACAATATTTTCTTTTACATCGTTGACCAATCCCAATTTGCCGCAAGTTTTATCACGCACACAATTCCGTGTGTTGTAAATTCGTATCACGAAAGCAAACACGACACGCTCTCATCTCAAGAGGGACTTGACTTTGTTCACGTGACTCGCTCATTGTGTGCGTGCGTGTGTGTGTCTGTCTGTGTAATTGCTGAATGACATTGCCGATTCCGCTTCAGCCACCTCCCGCACATACTTTCTACGTGTTTATTTGCAAGTTGTCTTAAATTAGTGGGTGGTAACGACCAATATACTTGCCTAAAAGCAGCTAAGAGAAAACTTTTAAATTTTCTTTTCGGCTCTGGCAAATGGAATTTATTTGTGCCCCATTAGACCTGTGCTGCGATCCGCTGCTCATTAGTTGTTTCCTCTTCTTTTTGGCATATTTTTGCACCTGCGGGGCGCGGCGTGTGGCACGTTTAATTTGTTTACACAAATCTTGGGCTGTTGAGAGCCGCAGCAAGCGGCATTTGTTTGACTTTCCTTAAGAGCAAAAAAACATAAAAAATGCGAAAAACAAAAAAAAAAAAAAAAATTGAAAACAACTTGAACTACTCAGAAAGTTTTTTGGTGCGTGTGTAACAATTAAACAGACGCTAAAAAATAGTGACTAATGAGAAAAGTTTTAAGCAGCGGCATTACAAATAAAACTGCCTTTTTAAGTTCGTAACCCCGCCCAACTTTTACTCTTCATTTTGTTCTTTTCCTTTTTCACTATATTGAATTGTGTATAGGTGTGTGTTGAGTGTGTGTGTGCGTTGTGCCTTAACTGTGGCCAACAATTTGCCATAACTGAAAGTGTGCTGGCCATAAAGCGTGTTGTTGGCTTAAATACTGAAATTATTGCACAGTTTATTGCCTCGTTTATGCCCTACCTTCTACCTTCGCCCCGCTGCGCGCCCTTTCGCTATGCCTCGCTCGGGCGGCACTTATCAGCGTGCAGAAAATCACAAACTTTGACACAACTTCAGCTGTAGCTGATAAGCATTGAGGGCGCTCAAAATATAAAATACTTTGTCCAAGTATTTGCAATAAGAATATGGGGCAAAACTTTCCGGCGACCTTTATGCGCATTTGGGGAACTCCCGCCGGAACTTGGGCTCCAACTGGGAAATACAGCGGCACGCGTCACAGTATCTGTTTGTTGATTGTAAACAAAGCTGTCAAGGGATATATTTTTAGATAGGTATTAGGGCATCTTCAAATGTTTTTTTGTTCCCTTTAAAAAAAAAGGAGGCTGAAGAAATTTGTGTGTTATGCGTTAGCTGAGAATATTGATTTGTTATTCTAATAGAGGTATTATCTCCTTGCCAGCTTGAAAAGTTTGCCTGCAAATGTTGATCCTTAACAAAGCTCATCTTAAAGCTCGTGGCTCAGCTTGAGTCGAGCATACCCAATTGTCCGAGGCTCGAGGTGGCTTTTCTTTGCAATTTAACTAAAATATTGTGTCGGAAAGCGCCTCAAAACAGTTTGACGGGCAAATAAACGCAAATTGTTGCGCTCAGAACTGACATGCAACAAATGAGCATTAGAAATGCGCATACATTCAGCGCGAAAACTTTGAAATTTCAAATTCATGTATCTGTGTGCGAGTGTGTGCGGATGTGTGCGGATGTGTGGATGTGTTTTGCAATTGTGGTTGAAAGTTGGCAATGCTTAGTTAGAGCCATTTGTTTGAGTTGCGGCCATAATTAAATTTGCTGTTGCTAACTTTTAAATCATTTTACAGGCCGTCAGGTCTGTGTTTTGGCCAAAGAGAAAGCACGCCTTTAAATTGATTTCATGCCATTTTGGCTGCCAGTTGCGGCTCCCGGCTGCTTGACATGTGTGCAGCCAGCGTGAGCTGAGGAAATGTGTTTGCATTGTGGCCATAATGAAATAAACTTGTCACACGTTTCATCGCAAGCCATTTGGTCATTATGCTGGCTTGTCCAGCACCTCTCCACTCCCCATCCAGCTTAAATGCCGTAGTCAAATGCAATAAATGTTGCCCACAGCTGGCTGACAGGATATTTTCATTGGAAATTAAATTACGCATGAAACTTGTTTACAAATCCAAACTTAATCCTTGCTGCCAGTCACTTAGTCAGTCGGTCCGTCAGCGAGTCAACGGGTGGGCGTGTCCTGTTCTTTGTGCACACATTAACCTTAATTAAGTGACAAACAACAAGCGTTGGTCCCGTTGGGCTGCTGGGCCCGTTGTCCTGTCTTGGAACCCTCTGAAGTTCGGCTCTGTTACACGGCGCCTCAGTTCATTTACAGGCAATTGAATTTTAATAGGATTTCGCTTTTGGCCCAAAAATGTCGCCTTTGGCCCAAGCCCTGCAGCTGTTACCTCGGTGACCCCCCTCCTTCCCGCAAACCCTTGCCACCCGCTGGGCCGCTGCCATCTGCCTCGTCAGTCGATTGTCAAGTGTCCATTTGCATATTTGTCTTTTACAGTTGCGCAACTTCTTGGGTCCCTTTGGCCATTGGCTTTTATTTTGTTCGCTCGTAATTCAATTTATTTGCAATGCTCGCGCATTTTCGTAAGAAACTGAAACGATTTCTCAGACAGTACGCCTTGTTCCTCTTATAACTACTTTTGGAATGAAGTTCGTTGCGGTTAAAGCAGCCACAAGCCCAGTTAAAGGCCGTCTTAACGCATCATTTAAGCCGCTGACTGAAGAGTGTGGGTGGTGTGTGTGTGGGGGGGGGGGGGGGGGGTGTAGGAAATTGTCTATGCTTTGTTCTTAATTAAAGATTAAATGTGCTAAATTGTGCGGCCTTTGGCAGCAGAAGTTGGCTTTAATGTCCTTGCTGATTGTTGTGTTTGTGGCCCGAAGCAGCTGCTCGGTCGTTGGACAGGCAAGCGTTCATCCATTTGGCCATCCATCAATCAATCAATTACGCTTAGAAGTGCGCCAGGACATAAGGGAATCGCAATAAAACGTGCCTCAAGCTCAGTTTTTGTCAGCGAAATTTAACGACCAACTTTTTGCTAACAACAATGAATTGAAATGTAGCGCGCCAAGAGCTGGCCAACAGCTCCTTGCCCCCTCCTCCTCCTTCTCCTCAACATAAAAGTATTTTAGCCAACTTGGAGATTTGGTAAGCTTTAAAGTATAAAAAAACTATCACAGTTTCAATTGGCATATCTATTTTGCTAGCTTTGTAGCAAAAAATAATAATAATTGTACAATTCATTTTAGTTTTTAGCCAGCGGCAATTTTTTGCCTGATTTCTGCGGCCATTCTATTGATTTGTGTTTTTAATCAAGCATCTTATTGTTTGTTTTTACAGTTAGATTTATAGTACACATGTCGCTGGTCATATTTAATGGAGTTTACACAATATTTGCAGCGTTTATTATTTGCTTTTTTTCATTTATTTAATTCACATGCTGCCCATGCCTTGCCAATCTTTTGTCCGCTCTCACATTTGCCCGTAAATGCGGCTAAGCTGCAAAACAATTATTTAACTGAATAGTCGGAATGAAAACTGTTTTATGCTGTCAGTCGGGCAGCATATCCTGCGTGGGTCTGCAGAACAACAGGAATCAGGACAAACATTTTAAATGAAAATCAACACAAAGTACAATGGACTGTTTATAAGCCCGGCCGTTGATTGTCCGCTGTTGACAGTAAGTACATAAAACAACAACCAATCTTAGTGTTTAAATTAAAATAATATTTATTGAGCATACAGCTTAAGATATATTTAGAATATCACTTCAGCTAATACCTATTATTTTCAGAGGACTTTTGGAGAATAACTGTTGACCAAAAAACGATTCATTATAAAGTCAACCTTTTCTGATGATTTTTTGGAATATGTCGGACAATTTTGGAATCATATAAACCGTTTTGGGCTCGTAAGGATCATCACTATCGATTGACATTGAAAACATGAACATCTAGTTTTTGTCCCAAATCAACAAAAATGCAAAGGACATTGACCATCTTAAGGACCATTCTGATGTCCTTTGGAATACACGTATTCCTTGTCCTGCCAACTCAGAATATGTAATAAAAAGGACGAATATCCTCCAAGAAGCTGAGGAAAGGATATGTTTTGTTGGGAGAGATAAATCGCTGTAGCTCGGCCGTATCCTTGCCAATCATGATATCCATTGGCCAACGGTAAGTCTTCATCCCCTCTATTCAGAATATATATTGAAAAGGACGAAAGTCCTTTAGACAGCCTAGATATAAGTAATATTCTTTCGTAAATTAACAAAGCCATAACACGGCCGTATCCTTGCAGATCCTGACAAGTCATGTGTCAAACAAATCCTCTTAACAAGGACGATAAACTGTCCAAAGCACATCAAAATCGTCCTTGCCGTTTCCGGTATATGGCTAATTTTCTAAAAAGGTCATTTTTCAATTAGCCATAACTTGGCCAAATCCTTAAGGATATCGGAAGGATATGCCTTTTTGAACTCGTGGCTAGCAGGACTAGCGATTGGCATTCAAGGATTTCCAGGATTCGACAAAAAATTTCATCGAAATTTATCCTAGGGGTTAGTCGCAAAATTGGCCAAAATCAAAAATATCCCGGCTAACTTCGCCATTTGAAGGACTATCGGGATGTCCTTTGGCCAGTAAATAGTCCTCGGCTTCCCATTCAAGAATTTACAACCCAAAGGACGAAAGTCCTTCAGACAAAAAAGTTTTAAGGACAATTTTGCATACTAAAAATAGGCCATAGCTCGGCTGTATCCTTGCAAATCCTTGCGAGTCATATGTCAAAAAAATTGTATTAACCATGACTACAAGCTGGCCAAATTTCATTAGAATCGTCCTTGTAGTTTGGCAGATATTTAAGGATTTCTGTCTTAGGGCCATTTCCGTGCGATCCGCGACTGAAATTTTACAAGTCAAAATACAAGTCCTGGGGTTCTTAGATGACAACATATTTTTTTGATGCAGATCGATTCAAGGGGTCTATAGGATCCTAACGCACCATGTCCTTTGAAAATCTGCAAGAACATGCCCGAGTTATGGCCTATTTTCCTTACATCAAATGCCTTTATATATTGATTTAATTATTTAATTAATATGTTTTTTTATTCTTTCAGGATCACAAATTAAGGACAACAATGAGCCCTAAGGACCTCCACGACTGACAAAGCAAATTTTTCCCAGGATCGGAATTATATTAAGCCAGATATAGTTATTTTAAGTTTAAATGAACTAAATTGAATAGTTACGCTCAATTTGTATAGTTTTAAGACAAATATTTAAGAAAATTTGCATTAAATAACACAATTTTGTAAATTTAAACAAAAATAAATGAATTATTTAAAATAAAAGCGAAATTCATGTTTATTTTATTTAAAAATTCAAAAATCAACGGTCGCTTGCATCCCCGAACGTCTGTTGTTTTTAGAGCGGCGGAGATATGTCGTTTCAAAACGACATAATCCCACATAACTATTATCATGGCGGAGTTATGTCGTTTTGAAACGACATATCTCCACCGCTCTAAAAACAACATTTTTACAAGAAATTTAGCAAAAATACCAGGCGAACAGAAATGACTAGGTAGATGCACAGAAAATTTCCGCGGAGATATGTCGTTTCAAAACGACATAACTCCGCCATGATAATAGTTATGTGGGATTATGTCGTTTTGAAACGACATATCTCCGCCGCTCTAAAAACAACATTTTTACAAGAAATTTAGCAAAAATACTAGGCGAACAGAAATGACTAGGTAGATGCACAGAAAATTTCCGCGGAGATATGTCGTTTCAAAACGACATAACTCCGCCATGATAATAGTTATGTGGGATTATGTCGTTTTGAAACGACATATCTCCGCCGCTCTAAAAACAACATTTTTACAAGAAATTTAGCAAAAATACCAGGCGAACAGAAATGACTAGGTAGATGCACAGAAAATTTCCGCGGAGATATGTCGTTTCAAAACGACATAACTCCGCCATGATAATAGTTATGTGGGATTATGTCGTTTTGAAACGACATATCTCCGCCGCTCTAAAAACAACATTTTTACAAGAAATTTAGCAAAAATACCAGGCGAACAGAAATGACTAGCAGGTAGATGCACAGAAAATTTTCGCGGAGATATGTCGTTTCAAAACGACATAACTCCGCCATGATAATAGTTATGTGGGATTATGTCGTTTTGAAACGACATATCTCCCGCTCTAAAAACAATATTTTTACAAGAAATTTAGCAAAAATACCAGGCGAACAGAAATGACTAGCAGGTAGATGCACAGAAAATTTTCGCGGAGATATGTCGTTTCAAAACGACATAACTCCGCCATGATAATAGTTATGTGGGATTATGTCGTTTTGAAACGACATATCTCCGCCGCTCTAAAAACAACATTTTTACAAGAAATTTAGCAAAAATACTAGGCGAACAGAAATGACTAGGTAGATGCACAGAAAATTTCCGCGGAGATATGTCGTTTCAAAACGACATAACTCCGCCATTATAATAGTTATGTGGGATTATGTCGTTTTGAAACGACATATCTCCCGCTCTAAAAACAACATTTTTACAAGAAATTTAGCAAAAATACCAGGCGAACAGAAATGACTAGCAGGTAGATGCATAGAAAATTTCCGCGGAGATATGTCGTTTCAAAACGACATAACTCCGCCATGATAATAGTTATGGGGGATTATGTCGTTTTGAAACGACATATCTCCGCCGCTCTAAAAACAACATTTTTACAAGAAATTTAGCAAACATACCAGGCGAACAGAAATGACTAGCAGGTCGATGCACAGAAAATTTCCGCGGAGATATGTCGTTTCAAAACGACATAACTCCGCCATTATAATAGTTATGTGGGTTTCGAACTTAAATTTTCATTGCATAGCATTAGGGGCAAAAATGTAACTCAATTAAAATGAGTCTGTTAATAAGCAGTTTATGTAATATGAGTGCCGTAAGGCGTCTTTTAAATAACAGCTGCAGCTGTAAAAGGGCTCCTGAAAGAAAAATCATACATGTTTTCGGACCATTGCAATGCAAATTTTGCAGGTATCTGATCCTGTAGGTTCTCAAGGACTATATCGATGGTATGGTAAAACCAAGGATATACTAGTCAACTAGAAACCATCCCGGGGTCGGGACTGTTGCTGGGGAGCGGCTGTAAAAGAAATGCATACATATTTTGGACTCTGGTTCCTACGCAATTTGCAAGAACTTTCTCCTTTAGGTTCGCTAGGACTTTATCCATGATATTGAATTACCAAGGATGTATAGGTCAACTAGGTACCATGAATAGCGATCATGTTGTCAATGGGCGTGGCAGAGTTGGCTGAAAAATTTTAAATAAAATTATGTCATAAGCTCACGCAGGTCCGCCGTTCCAAAGTGATTTTGTTACTTTAAAGACGACATATTTATTTATTGATTATATGTTGTCCATTAAGGTTGGCCGATTATGCTGAAAAAGGCAAAATGAAAAAAATATTAGTTCTTTAAACCAAAATACATTGGCTTAATTAAGTCAGACGTTGGGAAGGCATACGCACCTTTAAGTATTCGTGAGTCTCTTAAATCGACAAAATTCTACGAAATGTTGATATAAGAGTCGACGCAGATTGGCAAACACGAACAGCAAAGTTATTTTAAGTTTAAATGAACTAAATTGAATAGTTACGCTCAAGTTGTATAGTTTTAAGACAAATATTTAAGAAAATTAGCATTAAATAACACAATTTTGTAAATTTAAACAAAAATAAATGAATTATTTAAAATAAAAGCGAAATTCATGTTTATTTTATTTAAAAATTCAAAAATCAACGGTCGCTTGCATCCCCGAACGTCTGTTGTTTTTAGAGCGGCGGAGATATGTCGTTTCAAAACGACATAATCCCACATAACTATTATCATGGCGGAGTTATGTCGTTTTGAAACGACATATCTCCACCGCTCTAAAAACAACATTTTTACAAGAAATTTAGCAAAAATACCAGGCGAACAGAAATGACTAGGTAGATGCACAGAAAATTTCCGCGGAGATATGTCGTTTCAAAACGACATAACTCCGCCATGATAATAGTTATGTGGGATTATGTCGTTTTGAAACGACATATCTCCGCCGCTCTAAGAACAACATTTTTACAAGAAATTTAGCAAAAATACTAGGCGAACAGAAATGACTAGGTAGATGCACAGAAAATTTCCGCGGAGATATGTCGTTTCAAAACGACATAACTCCGCCATGATAATAGTTATGTGGGATTATGTCGTTTTGAAACGACATATCTCCCGCTCTAAAAACAATATTTTTACAAGAAATTTAGCAAAAATACCAGGCGAACAGAAATGACTAGCAGGTAGATGCACAGAAAATTTCCGCGGAGATATGTCGTTTCAAAACGACATAACTCCGCCATGATAATAGTTATGTGGGATTATGTCGTTTTGAAACGACATATCTCCCGCTCTAAAAACAATATTTTTACAAGAAATTTAGCAAAAATACCAGGCGAACAGAAATGACTAGCAGGTAGATGCACAGAAAATTTCCTCGGAGATATGTCGTTTCAAAACGACATAACTCCGCCATGATAATAGTTATGTGGGATTATGTCGTTTTGAAACGACATATCTCCGCCGCTCTAAAAACAACATTTTTACAAGAAATTTAGCAAAAATACTAGGCGAACAGAAATGACTAGGTAGATGCACAGAAAACTTCCGCGGAGATATGTCGTTTCAAAACGACATAACTCCGCCATGATAATAGTTATGTGGGATTATGTCGTTTTGAAACGACATATCTCCCGCTCTAAAAACAACATTTTTACAAGAAATTTAGCAAAAATACCAGGCGAACAGAAATGACTAGCAGGTAGATGCACAGAAAATTTCCGCGGAGATATGTCGTTTCAAAACGACATAACTCCGCCATGATAATAGTTATGTGGGATTATGTCGTTTTGAAACGACATATCTCCCGCTCTAAAAACAATATTTTTACAAGAAATTTAGCAAAAATACCAGGCGAACAGAAATGACTAGCAGGTAGATGCACAGAAAATTTCCCCGGAGATATGTCGTTTCAAAACGACATAACTCCGCCATGATAATAGTTATGTGGGATTATGTCGTTTTGAAACGACATATCTCCGCCGCTCTAAAAACAACATTTTTACAAGAAATTTAGCAAAAATACCAGGCGAACAGAAATGACTAGCAGGTCGATGCACAGAAAATTTCCGCGGAGATATGTCGTTTCAAAACGACATAACTCCGCCATGATAATAGTTATGTGGGTTTTGAATTAAAATTTTCATTGCATAGCATTAAGGGGCAAAAATGTAACTCAATTAAAATGAGTCTGTTAATAAGCACTTTATGTAAAATGAGTGCCGTAAGGCGTCTTTTAAATAACAGCTGCAGCTGCAGGTAGTGTAAAAGGGCTCCTGAAAGAAAAATCATACATGTTTTTGGACCATTGCAATGCAAATTTTGCAGGTATCTGATCCTGTAGGTTCTCAAGGACTATATCGATGGTATGGTAAAACCAAGGATATACTAGTCAACTAGAAACCATCCCGGGGTCGGGACTGTTGCTGGGGGGACTCTGGTTCCTACGCAATTTGCAAGAACTTTCTCCTTTAGGTTCGCTAGGACTTTATCCATGATATTGAATTACCAAGGATGTATAGGTCAACTAGGTACCATGAATAGCGATCATGTAGTCAATGGGCGTGGCAGAGTTGGCTGAACAATATTAAATAAAATTATGTCATAAGCTCACGCAGGTCCGCCGTTCCAAAGTGATTTTTCTTTAAACCAAAATACATTGGCTTAATTAAGTCAGACGTTGGGAAGGCATATGCACCTTTAAGTATTCGTGAGTCTCTTAAATAGACAGAATTCTACGAAATGTTGATATAAGAGTCGACGCAGATTGGCAAACACGAACAACAAATTCATAATCGATATGTTAAAAAAAAGTTATTGTCCAAAAAACGATTCGTTTGTAGGGTCAACCTTTTTTTTATGATTTTTTTGGAATATCTCGGCCAAATAATGCCCGATTTTGGAATTTTATACCATTTTTGGCTCGTAAGGATCAGTAGTATCGATTGGCATTAAAATGATAAAAATCTAAATTTTGACCCAAATCAACGAAAACGTTTTTTCTCAATATCGGGGTAGGTTCAAAAAGCAAAACTTGTTTGATGATTTTTTTTTTAATATCTTGGGTAAATATCGAATAATTTTGATATGTTTTTGAATTCGTACGGACCCCTACT